CGAAATTTTTCCTAGTGTCGAAACGGCGTCGACTCTACTGTATGCTCCACAACTGCTCAGCTGCGAAGCCCTTCTTGTTTTCCTAATCGCTTGGTGATTCTAAATGAAGATAGAATACTTTCAAACGATTAGAAAAAGGGATTTTGCAGAAATTCTAGAAAATTTTTTTGACTGTTGGGCATCTTCCCAGCGGCTGGGCATATAGATAGAGCTTAAAATAAGGGTGACCTGTTGCATCGAAAAAAAAAAAACATTTTTCGAGCGTGATTTCTTGCATCAAGCACTGCAACGCTTGGGCGTGCTATATGACATGAAGTTGAAGCGTAATTTAATGCTTAAGATATTGAATAAGCGTCACCTTGTGCGTCGTGATCTTTTTCTCTTTTGTAAGAAATCTCGCTTTGTTTTCTTCGACAAAACAGGTTAAGTTTCATGCTTACCGTATTTATTCGATTAACCGCCCTGGGCGCTTATTAAATTTTTGGACCTTGAGAGTGGGCGATTATTCGAGGCTGGGCGTTTATTAAATTTTCTCCATTTTCAGCAAGTGAAGTATGTTTGTTTTGCAACAAAACAATAAGTGCTAATAACAAAACGCGAAGAAGTAACAAAGCAAGGTTTCTGTAAAATACTCTGAAGAAAACTCCGTCCTCGGGGAAGTCTCTTATTAGAATTTATTCACTCAAGTGGGTGGGATGGGGGTGAGCGCTTGTTTGAGTTTGATTGGCAGGAGGAGGGGTGGGCGCTAAATCGAGGTTGGGCGCTTATTCGAATAAATACGGTATATGACATAGCAAGCCGATAAAATCGCAAGTGCGTAACCGACATAGCAAAAACTGTAAACACGTGCTCTCTTTAGGGCCTGTTTACATGAAAGTGGGGGACCCCAGATAGGTGAGGTAACCCCCTCAGCAATCTTACAAGCCCGCCATCCCGGGGTTCACTTTCTCAAGATTATTGAATGGTCGCTAAGCACGTAAACAAGAAAAATGCTGGTAAACCACGTGTTTTGGTGATTAATGCTCTTCTACACTCGCTTGCCGCTCTTGCTGCAACCTCCAGTGCTGTGGCTTTCTATTGTTACCTTTAATAATGATGCAAAGCTACCGCCAAAGTGAATTTTGTGCGGACTCAGTACCGCGAATCCGACCCCGGCTAGGCGGGTTACCCCACCTTGAAACGTTTACATGGCAAAATTTGACCCCGGCTGAGAGGGTTATCCGGTCTGGCAGACCGGGCTACATGCCTTGGTGGGTCACCCCACCTATCATGTAAACGTGATCAAATTAAAATGAGAGATTCCATGGACAGGCGGGTTACCCCACCTAAGCGGGTTACCTCACCTACCTGGGGTCCCCCACCTCCATGTAAACAGGCCCTTAGCGAGGTATTCAATTTAAGCTTCAGGTATATGAAAGGATAGGGATTTCAGGGGTTGAATGAAGTTTCTAAAAGGGTAGGAAAATCTGTCATTTAGGTAAGTATTTAAAGGGCATTTTATATGTTGTACTTTTAGGATTCAAGTATCTGACTGAAGCTTTTAAAGAAGAAATGGAGATTGAAGACACTGTTAAAATACTACTCCAGAAGAAAATTCCTGGCGCTGGTGGGTGGAGGAAAGTTTCGCGCGAGCACAAAATGTCAGATATTGGTATACGGGCTTTAGAGGGAAGCAACGAACCAGGGAATGGTGTCATCGAGTATCTTAAGTGCGACAATCCTAAGTTAACTGTGTATGGTTTTTGTAAAAGCCTCAAGAAAGTGAAGCGAAATGATATCGTTGATATACTGTCAGACCATTTAGTTTCAGTTAGTTGTAATGTATAACTTGGAATTGCAACTGTTGGGCTACTTGTTTCCTCTTTCTTCCCTTCAGGACCAAGAGCCGTGACCAACATCAATTTTTCTCCTAACAATATCACTACACCATCGAAAGAAAAGAGTATGGAAATTTATAACATGATCACGAAAGCAAAAATGCTTTGATCTTTTGTCAGATTTCTAAAATAATTCTTTAAGGAAATGAATGGAATCAGTCTGGAAAATTTATGTGTGGATATCGCGGCTGAAGGGGTTAAGAGTAACAAAGCTGCACAACGGACTGTTGACGTAAATTGTTTTTGTTTTGTTTTGTTTTTTCCTATCCTGATCAAACCGACGTTAAAACAGGGCTAGCTGTAAGCTAGACTTGCCACAAGTCGACCTCACGAGTTAAAATTAAAGTGCGCGGAGCGAGCTTTTTAGGAGTTTACAAGCGAGCGGAGTGAGCTTGTTAGGCCGCGAAGCGGCCAAGGGAGCTTCGTCCTGCGCCATAATAAAGACCTTAAGATCGAGGTTTTGTCATTTTACTGCAAACGACAGACTGCGTTTTTCAGTTAACGGTTTCACGTTACCCGTCTGCCCATAATTGGGACTGATTCGCGGTTGGTAGCTCGCAGCTGCTATGTTTGTTTTCATTCATCCACTTACTTCTATTTTAGCTGAGAAATTGTCTTCAAAATTACGTTTTTTGAAAAGTCGTCGTATTTCTTCTCAAACATGGGATTGTAACGTTTTAGGGTGCAAAAAAAACCTTGCGGTAAGCCAGTTGCCTCTGGAGCGTGATCTAACCGTACAGAAGTGAAACTCAAATGGCAAACCTCACTGCAAGGCCCTGGTCACGTGACTTGTTAACGTTCGCGGTTCGCTAGAAATGCCGAAAAACCTAAATCTTAAGGTCTCTATTAAATCGGACGAAGGACCTTTTTTGAAAGTCTAAGTTAAAGCTTGAGTTCCAACTAACCGACGGTGCCAGTCGTCTTAAATAGATGAGGTAAAAGGAGTTTTGCGTGATAAGGGATTGATTGTGAAAATATGGAATTAAAATCCGGAAACGTGAACCCGGGAGATTTTAATCACCGTAATGTGTTAGTTCAATCTTAGGCGCGACTTATACTGGTTCTCAAAATTTTGTAAAAAAAAAAAAATACAAATTACAAAGTAAAAGGTAGTAAATATAGTAATCGTTAGGCAGGGTTTAGATTTCGCTGGTATCTTTTTAAAGTTGTTACAAAAGTCAAGTTTTTTATATTACATATATCTTGCCGGATTTTGAAAAATGTTACCACCAAATAGACCTGTTTGCGTCCAACAGTTTTGTTTTTTTTTTCGGCCAAGTTTCCAAAGTAACCATTTTAAAAACTAAAAGTGCAACCATTGCTTTTTTCTCCTCTCCTCCTATCTTCCTCCTAAAACTCTTGGACGATCCGAGCTGTTGCCTAGTATATCCAAGTGACTGCGAAGATGTCTTGGTTACAGACCTCGCATCATGTTACCGCAAAATTTAAAATGGCTGCCAACTCAAAGAAAACAGATTCGACACATCGATATACTATTGATTAATTGCCATCAAATTTTTCCTTACTGACGCCTCTCTATTATCTAGGAACAGTTCTTTTGGTCCTAAATAAGTCAAACTTCCTAATAACAAATTTTTAGCACCTTTTTTTTTTTTTTATAGAAACAGGATATTACAACTCGTGTTAAGTACTACTACTGTATTTAGTTAAAGTACTACCATTTAGTCTCATTTCAAAAGTTAAAAACTACATCCCCAGTTTTTTTTCGTAATGACATGGGTGAAGAAAAAAAAAAACCAAGATCAAGGTGATCAAAAGTTATAGACTGAAGTATAGGTAAAATATTGAATTTGTATTTATTGGTCGAGTTTCTAGTATAGCTGGTCTACCATAGTCGTAATCGATCATGCATTCGTAATAGTGATCAATGCAGTTCTATTAAACAGTTTTGCTTAATAAATTTAGTAGGTCGTAGCTGGACTACCTTACGGCATTAGGAATTGTAAAGAATATATATTTTTAGTAAATTGATGTTGCAATTCATTTGAGTACGACTATTTTACTTCCGGGATAGATGATCGACACATCAGTACTTGCACTCTCCATCTCCCTCCCCCGCCCCCCGGGCGTCGAGTGCACTATGGACTCCCGACTTCTGCTTGTTTCTACTTCCGTGTGTTAACCCACTTGTAGAAGTTTGACCCGTGTGTATTGGGGGAGGGGGAGGAGGCTGTTACAAGAACTCATGAATGTGAACACCTCATGAACAGAACTGCAATTTACCTTCTCCCAGGTGATACGATGAGTATCCCCGTCTATTCCTTATGTATCTTATGAACAGATCTTGCCGGCGATAAAATTCCGCAATTTACCATCTCCCAAGTGATACGACGAGTATCTCCGTCTATTCCTTATGTATCTCGCTCCTCCCCACCCCCCCTCTGCCCCTCCACTTCCTTCCAGGGGTCGAAGGGGCTAAATTCCTATTCTGTCCACCGCGTTAGGGTGATTGCTAATGACCTTATTGCTTGCTGTTAGCTATGCCAAAAAGCTTGGAATTCCAAACAATAGAAAGTAATGAAAAGTATACTCTGACTGTTTGACAAGCTTCAAAAATTAAAGTCACCCGACTCATAGAAACTTACAAATAGTTTCACCTAAGACTAAGCCCTTCAAATTTCTGTTTTCCGTGTCTAGTTTCAGAGTTCAGTTTTTAGGGAACCTAACAAAAGAATTAGCGTATTTATTCGATTAACCGCCCTGGGTGCTTATTAAATGTTTGGACCTTGAGAATGGGCGCTTATTCGAGGCCGGGCGCTTATTAAATTTTCACCATTTTCAGCAAGGGAAGTATGTTTATTTTGCAACAAAACAATAAATGCTAATAACAAAACGCGAAGAAGTAACAAAGCAAGGTTTCTGTAAAATACTCTGAAGAAAACTCCGTCCTCGTGGAAGTCTCTTATTAGAATTTATTCACTCAAGTGGGTGGGGTGGGGGTGGGGGTGAGCGCTTATTTGAGTTTGATTGGGAGGAGGAGGGGGTGGGCGCTTATTCGAGGCTGGGCACTTATTAACTGTTTCTGCCTTTAGGATGGGCGCTTATTCGAGGTGGGCGCTGATTCGAGGTTGGGCCCTTATTCGAATAAATACGGTAGTTCTTTTAATGTACGGATATCGCCATCTTCTGTGAGAGAACATCCACGAGATCCAGCCGCCTGAGACCTGCTTCATTGAACGTCTTGCAAACATAGTAAACGGTCAGATTAGGTGCCAGAGATGTCAGCTTTTCAAGCATGGCTCTTGCGGGGATTTTCTCTTTCTCCAAAGAGGAGATTTCCGTTTCCCTCATAGCATATCTTCTTGCTATCTGTTTCCAGGTGGGTAGCCTAGGGAGGCGTTTTTTGCTTAGCAAGTCAATTACTGCCTGTTTAGTGTCAGCATCGAGTTCGTGTAATCCTCTGAATCCTAATGAAGTGCCGGGAAATCATGTTAATAGCAGATCATTAAAACAAGAAATAATAATCAGTAAAACAAAATGCATTTTCTTAAAGACACGGCGAGATAAGGGAGGGGGGGTTAGGGTTAGGGTTAGGGTTAGGAGACCTCTTCTGGTCCCCAAAAAACAAATTTTCGGCCCTTCGGGCCACGGTTTGGTCTAAAAATAAAGGGGGGGGGGGGCTAGCCCTCCGGGGCCCTTCTCCGGATCCGCCACTGACCGTACTTACTCATATGGGGAGATGGGAAAACATCGACATCCGCGGGTTCCGAAGTCAATGATCCGCTCTTATCCCACACACGACAAAAATAGCGGCCAAAGTCGTGCATGCGTACCGGCTCCAACACCAGGTCCGAACGATTTGCCCCTGGGATTTCGATGTCATCTTTAATCCAGCGGTATGAGACATCAGGTAAGCTTCGCGTCCTGCAACTTAACACCAACTTCCTTCCTTCCTGAATGGCTTGGGATCGAGGCATCTGGATAATCTCTAAGGCTGCGATGCAAAAAATGAGAATGACAATGACAATGGTAACGGTAATGATGATGATAATGATAATGACGAGATATAAATGCACCAAATAATTCAAAGATTCATTAACTGTAAGTTCCGTCCAAGCCGTTACTCAGTTACACGCTCCCAGTGAAACGCTGTAATTACTTAGTCTCAGAACACGATTTGAAATCGTTATGAATTATCTGCACGAATATTTAGTTCTCTTTTTTCGTATTCGATCGCTTGAGACAAATTTATTTGGGTAGCAGGTAAAATACAATACTCATTTTTTCCAAAGTTTTTTTAACTCGAACATCATTTTATCCTAGTCTCCAAATTAACGTATGATTACTAATAAGGGTGCAATGTTAAAAAAGCGAGGAATACAAAGTACTACTCTACAGATAAGTTATAACGGAAGAGAGAAACAAAACCAAAAGAAAAATTCGAAAACTTACAGTTCTCTTCGGGATCTTCTTCCGACTGGTACCCAGAGCTTAACCCTAGAGATGTACCTGAAGAGGCCCTTGGACGAGGTTGTTGAATGTCAATATCTAGTGTTGGTATTAATTAAACAGTAGATTAGGAAGATAAGGAAAACCGCTTAGATTTATAAAAAACAACGTGCGTCAGTAGTCAGTCATTCGAGTTGACCTCTTTGTTTGAGTAAATGTTGCTGTTGCCGTTCATTAATAAACTTCGGGGGCTATTTTTTATTAGTTTTGCCAACGTAGAAGTCGCCGACGCCCCGCGGCAGTGGGAAACAACATTTGTTAGCAGGTTAGAATTCTCTTCGAGTAATTTTAGTTTTTTGACCACGATATATGAAAAATGAAAACAAACAATACAGGTATTATATATATTATTACTTTTTTCACCTGTTTCTAAGGCTTGAAAGCGTTCAAGTTCCCTGTCCTTCTTCTTCAACTTCTGCTGCAACATTTCATTTTCCTTCTCCAACTCGTGGACCTTTTCAAGAAGTTCCCGGATATCCCTTTGCAAAATTTTCATCTCCTCCTTTCCAGCCCGCGTTTTATCCTTTATTTCTATCCCATCGACTTTTCCTTGCTGGGCACTCTCACCCATTCTCCTATTTTCTTCTTGCAACTTTCCAATTGTTCCTCGAAGGCCTTTGGAAATGGCCATTTCTCGCTTTAGTGATTCCTTTACATTGTCTAGCTCTCTAGATCCATTTGGTTATTAAGTATGACAGAATGGAAACCAAAAAAAGCAAACAGCAAACAAACAAACAAATTAGGAGGGCGTGATAATGATAACCCGGAGCGTGCTTGTCCCATACTTAGCCTATGCAACGGCGTTTTCACAGATCAAGTTATTTTTAGCATCAGTTTAGAGTACTTTTACCTGCGAAAATGGAAGCAACAAATGTATTATTCTGTGCAAGTGAAACGAAAGCAACCCAAAGTAACTTATTTTGACTGTAATTTAAAAAAAATACTGGTTTTAAAAAAACGTTCCATTTGCGCACGCATCCAAAGTACGATAATTACCGCCAAACTAAAGGGTTAAGGCTGATTTTCACTAGCGACGGAGTCGGAGACGTAAGCGGAGTCGTAAGAGCGCTTATGACCTAGTAAAAATCACAAATCGGAGTCGTAAGGGGAATCATAAGCGCGACGCAATCAGAGTCAGAAGAATCAGAACGTTTCCATTTCTTCCGACTCCGCTTAGCTTACGACTTCGTCGCTTACGTTCCGCTTATGATCTAGTGAAGACCAGATTGTGGGAGTCGGAAGCAGGAGGGGAAGGATAAACCAATCAAAATTCACGTTCCCGCGCTTTGTTGTTAGTTTGGTTCTTTTGCTTCTGCTTCCGACTCCGACAATCTGGTTTTCACTAGATCATAAGCGTAAGGTAAGCGACAGAGTCGTATAAGAGGAATCGGATCTGTTTTCACTAGATCGATCATAAGCTCTACGCTTCTGATTACGACTCCGTGTGAATAGTGAATACCAGCCTTTAGAATGAGACAGAAGAAGCAAGAACCTATTACTGATCGGCTCCTGGTGGAAGTCTATTTGATGGACAGTGCCTTTTTGAGGATGTGAGAATATTTTTTTCCGTCCTTCGGGCGTCTGCCACTGCAAGGGGGGAAATTATTATATATTCTGAGAGAAGTGACGTCATAAAGAATTAAATAGCATTTCGGGGTAAATTTTCTCTGAGATATTAGCCCTTTTCTGTCCTGATTTACAAATCCTTCTAAATTTGACTCGGGTCATAACGTTATGACCCAAGTGAAATTTAAAAGTATATCTTAAAAACTCTTATTCTTCGGTCATTTTAACTTCAGTAAAAATAAAACACAAACCGCGGTAACAAGTAGCATGCGTTGTTTCATCATGTTTGTTACTGCAGTTTGCGTTTTATTTTTACCAAATTTAGAAGGATTTGTATGGAGTCATCTGAGCATAACTGGGCTAATATCTCAGAGACAATTTGCCCCGAAGTGCTGATTTTTGGCAAGTAGGCCTCTTGGGCGTTGTTCTTTCAGAATATCCTGACAAATCCCATAATTTCACAAATTTAATTATTATCACGTCATCACTTTAGAACTCTAATGCCCACGCCTTATGCGAGAATAAAGCTAAATCAGTCAATTTGCTAGCCCTTGAAAAATTTGAAAGCCAGAAGGATTGGTCCAGTTTCTCGCTTATCAAAATAGCGCAGGCCTGCTTTTGTTGGTGTGAGCGAAGGTAAACGACGTCAATATCAAGAGCCAATAGGGATAAAATTAAATTCATCTCAAAATCCGTTAAGTTTTTCATTATTAGACCCATGTCATTATTAGACCCATGTCAATTCTCAGAATAAAAAAGGAAAAGGAACCAAATTACTCCCACACTAACTTGCAGGCTCAGTATGCGTGGCTTTCCTGTGGTACAGGGCCGGGAGAGGTTCTAATTTCAATAGCGTGACGCATAATATTCCCGAAGCCGCAGCTCACTTGTACATTCCACCTGATTCCATGTTCATGATCCTTTCATCAGATTTTTAAAATTTAGATCGACGAGAAAAATCTAAAGAGAATTTTCTATTTATGAAAGAGGATCATCAAAAAAGTATCCCTCCTTTATTCGACAATTGCCCCACATGAGAATTGGCCTGGGAAATATTAGCAAGTCACTCAAAAATCTTTAATCGCATTTCCAGCATGTAAGCTGTCACGCTCCGTTTTATGGTGAAACACTTTTCCCCAATCATCAACTTGATCGCTTGGCTGGACTACTATAATAAACAATTTTTGAGGGTTTTTCCTATATTGAGAGTCCACCCGGAACAAATATGTAAATCGCTGCGAATAATACGTCGCTATCAGGGGGGGGCCCACGACTTAGCGAAATTTCGTGTACCTATGATCCACCGATTTATGACATCACATCCGGTTGCAGAGTTGCTGCTCTGTTTTCGCGCGAAGCACAAAGATGGACGCCCGATGCTATTTGGTTTCCTCGTTATTTTTACCCACAGGCTAACGGAATTATGTATCTTGAATCCCGAGAATATTAAGAAGGTATATAGTCGGCCTTTCAAGCAAATGTCATGACCAAACAAAGAAGTTTTAGTATTATTTTAACGATAAATATCATGCAGCTGCGAGGAATGTCATAGCGAGTCTTGCGATGTTTCAAAACGAGTGTCGTTAACGTTTTGCGGCTTTTGCGGGCTCTGATTTAGAGAAGTCATCAATCAAAATATAATTTCCTAAGCGGAATAGAATGAGGAAAACGCCGATGGCCACAGTTTAAAGTGTTCACCGCTAGAAGGCTGGATCACGCCCCGTAAAGTTGCAGAAACTTCCACTCAACTGCATGGTTTTGAGGAATGTCATGGTGAGTCTTTCGCTGTTTGTAATCGAGCGTCACTCAAGAGTTTGGCTTTCGCGGCTTCTGATTCTTCAAAGTCATCAATCAAAATTTCCTATCCTGAGCGAAATTCCATGGAGAAAAAGCTTATAGTCACAGTTTAAAGTGTTAATAGCTGGAAGGCTTTATAACTCGACGTAAAGTTGCTGCAAGGGCTCAGTCTTCTGCTGTTCGAAGACCCTCTGGCATGATGTCGCATAGATAAGGTTAGTAGGTTTGCTGATTTTTCTTTTAGTGCACGTGAGAGAATTACAAGGAGCGTAGAGTAGCGAAATATTAAGAGTTATTCAATGTTAGAGCGTGAGCTTTTAATAGTTAAGAGAATTACATATTTTTTTTAAATGATTGATGAAAGGGGAATTCTTAAGGTGGTTACTATTAGAAAAGGGCAGTGAAACATCCGAAAGAACTACCCTTTTTCTCACAGCACTTTCTACAGGATCTCTAAAACTGTATTTTATTGTGTAAGAAACACATAAAATAGAAAAAATGTGACAGAGAATAGACCGTTTGCTTTGGGAGGTGGTGCCCAGGAGAGGTGGAGATATTAAGAGGGCCTACACCAAGAAGAACAATATTATAACAAAAAACAATAATCTTGTTGATCAATTATTATTACTAGTAGCCTTTTTTGAGTACGATAGTATACCAGAAAGATACCACATGCCTGCAATTGCTGTGATCATAATTTATTGTTTTAGAGGGAGGCATGCAAGGTTTTTGCTTAGGGGATTTCAGGGGTGGTAACAGCACACCTACACTGTATGACAGAGTG